CAAATAATATCTTATCAAATCCATACATGAGATTCCTAACTGAGTAGGCATATTTGAAGCCAAACACTTTCTTGTCTTTGTGTCTTGCTTGAGTATCGTAAAGCATGGCGTTCTGTTATGACGATGTTCGTCACATGATGGATAAAAACTCAGCAAGGATTCATCGGAGTCGCAGGGCAGTGCACCGAGGACCTATTCGTACAAATCTACAATGATAGCTCCAAGGCAATCTCCCAACAACTTCCGGTGAAGCCAACTTACGAGTCCCTCCCCCTCTCCTCTTCAAACAAAATGAAATGTACTCCATTATGATAATTGAGTTGTTAAACAATGACATGAGCAGGCTTCAAGCTGCTATTTATTTTTGCTTAGTCCTGTCTATCAAAAACATTTCTCATCCGGGCTGAACTGAAGTTTCGATTTCGCATGAGTGTAGTAAGAACCAGAAACTGGATTTGAAAACGAGTTTTACGCGAAAAGGGATGACGCGATAGTAATAGGCCACACAGCAGAGTAAAATTAAGTTATAGGTTAGTTAAGATTTTTAAGGCCAGCCTCGCCTCCAACAGTCCATACTTTTTGATTGGATTTTTATTGAGTCAAATATGCATTTAATATTAAAATATAGAACGTTATTTATAATCGGTGTCAGTGAGTTTCGAGATTATTCGTTATCATCTATTAAGAAACATACGTTTATCACGAATAAATAACTTAGTCACTTTTAATGACAATTACAAGTTTGTCTCATCAGCAATACTAAGATAAAATGTGGTATGTAAGTCATATCCGTTCTGTGACTAAATGAAACCAATGGCTGAGAGAAATAATGTTAAAAGGTCGTTACTCTGTACACACAACCATGTTCCGTATCCCATAAGGGAAGGATAAGCGGACTTTGATTTCAAAATGTGTTCTACTCAATTCATTATGGAAAATTCCACTATCAGCAACCTAGAATTAAAATTCAGACAATTCAAGACTTTTAAAACTTTTCAAGTAAAAATTGATGTTTTAAAGTGGTAATTTTTCAGAAAGTTGATGGCACACATTAAGAAACAACTCACTGTGAAACTCAAACCTGTCACCTTGCCAACGAGCTGGAAGACCAAAGTAACACCTTGGGCTGATGCGACTCTTTTTCCAACAACCAAAAGTGTTGCCTCACTTTGTCGGAGAAAGCGGGACCTGTAGAGTATAGCAAATGAAAGACCAGTATTACTTCATAAAAATTTTTGATTTTGTACATCGCTTTTCACAAACCTTTGAGAAAAGCTACTTTCTGTTCAGTGACTAATAAGCAGATGCAACTAAAATTCAGAATGTTGCTTCATACAAAGATATTCTTGGAGTTTTCATAAAATTTGCTATATTGTATTTCAGAAGAAATATACTCTGTTATCTTATCTGCATTGGAGCCATCTGGAAGATTATTTAAGCCTAGCCACCAAAGGGGAAGAAGTTTAAAAGTGTGCCAAGAAGCTAAGGATTAATATGAAATTGGGTGCAGGAAATAAATATAAGGGTTTTGTACTTGTAGAATGCTGGGAACTTTTGCGGTGCTAATGAAACGGATATAAATATTGGTCATAATTATCATGGAAGGACAAAATTCCCTCTTACTTGAATTGGAGACGAATTATCGATGATGTTCTGGGTGGGATCACAAACTCGTTGAAGATCGATTGGGCTCCGCCATCCATTTTTCCTTCGCCAATATTAAATATCGAATTACTACCAGATACCTCACTCCTTATGCTATAAATAAGGCTTCCAGTAGAACGAGTCGCTTCACAGTTCGTATCCAGTCTCTGCTTTGGTTGAGGCATAAACCGGCTTGATGAAAGATTCGGAGGAGAGGGGTTATGCTTCTCGTCGGTACTCATGACGGCCTCACGGCCACTAGCAAAGAAGCATTTAAAGTGATTGGCATCAACGCCTAATAGACAGCAATTATAAGTAAGAGGCCGGGTTGTCGGGTTTGTCAATTGTAGCTGGCAAACGCATCGAGAGTGAAGCGGACCTGAAAAAAGTTGAAAATGGAAATTTTTGAGTTTTGCAGTTATAGTAAATGCTTGATATTTGTAACAGTGATATAAATATTAATAATAGAGCTGAAAAATGCATATTGTCAGTAACAGTATTTATATACTAACTAGACTTAGGAACCATTAAAGTTTCTTGAAAAAGAGCTCTATTCTCCCCAATTCGCTTAAGTTGATGAAAGAATAATATTAGAATTTTCCTTCACTGATATGAATAAGCCTTATGTTTACATTAAAAT